CTAAAAGTATTGCTCACTAAAAATATTTTGTGCCGTACATTTTAGTTAATATTTTCATTAATCTCCTTTTCTCCTAAAAATTGCTTAATGATTTTTACTTCTGTGTCTACAGTATAAAAATGTATTTTAAGACTAAAGTTTTCTTGCATATTGAATAAGCCTAAAAGAATGTCCTTTGCTAAAGTAAATGGGGGAATCTAGCTTGATAGTTAAAATATTTTCACCTAAGAATTTAAATGTCAGTAGACTAAGTTACACAAATAACAGCAATAAAATTATTATTCTAATTTGCTTTTGTTATTGTTTAGAAAATACACCAATTCAACAGTTTCTCCAGTACGGTTCAGTGACACGGATTCGATTCTTCAAGTTATCTCTTCTTTTCGGAACTGTTCCTCTCCCATTAACATAAACTCACTCTTCCTAAGTTTCCTATCTTTCAAGTTGCTATTGTTATTTGATCCCATGTAGATCAATCTTCAAAGAGCACAATGCTAAAGGTGGACATTCTTTACAAATCAAGCTAGATTATTGTGTTTTTGTTTTTACTTAAAATTTTTAAGATTGTTTCTTTTATTAAGAAAACTTTGTTTTGTTTTACGTTGGTCTCATACTGTGTTTGTCCTTTTGTGATTGACTAATTTCACTCTGCATAATGTTCTCCAGCATTAACCATGTTGTGAGGTGTTTCATGGACTCACCATTGTGTGTCCGTGCCAGTTTGTTTAATCAGTCTTCTGTTGAAGGGCAGTTAGGCTGTCTCCATCTTTTTGATTTGTCTCTTGTAGACAGCATATTGAAGGATTCTGTTTTCTTATCCATTTTGCTCTTTATGCCTCTTGACTCATAAATTTACTCCATTTTCATTCAGTGTAATTAACAATAGCATGAATGACTGTTGTCATTTTTCTGTGTTTTTTGTGGTGTTGCTGGATTCTTTGTCCCACATAGTTTTCTATGCTGAGTTCATTTGTTTTGTTTTGTTTTTATTTTGATTTCTGTTGTGTTAATGTTTACTAAAGCTTTCTGAGTTTACCCTTTTTTAATTTGATGTGCAGGTATACTATTTTCTTTGAGGTTATCCTGTAATTTTTTTTTTTTTCCCTTGCTTACTGTTTAGTCTTGACATTTACTTGACTTCTTACCATTTGGAAGTTCAGTATCTATACTAAGCCATCTTTTTGCTTTGTAGTTGACATCATTATACATTGACATCTCTGGTTCCCTATTTTCAGTTTTATAGGTTTGTTTTAGTTTAAATACTTCTATATCCTGGGTGGTGTTATTATGTATGGTAATGTCAGGTGGTTGTTGTTTTTCAGTCCTAAGAACACCCTTCAGCATTTTGTTCTTGGTAACTAGCGTAGTGGTTACGAACCGGGCTGCAAACTGCAAGGTCAGCAGTTCGAAACTACCAGCTGTTCCGCGGGAGAAAGATGAGGCTTTCTGCCCCCGTAAAGATTTACAGCCTTGGAAACCATGCCAAAGGTGTTTCTAGTACCAGCAGGGCCACCCACAGTGTACAGATGCCAACTGAGCTTCTACACTAACACACATTACGAAGAAAGACCTGGGGATCTACTTCTGAACACCGGCCAGTGGACACCTTCTAATCTTCCCAACATTGGCTGGCTTGCTCTGGAGGCGTCATCTGCAGGAACTGGCTGGTGGAGGACGTCACGTTTGGTGACGCAGAGGGCAAGGGAGGTCCTTGCTGAGATGAAGTGGTATAGTGACCACAGTGATGGACTCAGACATGTCACCCACTGTGAGGGCGGGGCAACATTTTATTCAGAGTGCACTCAACAGTTGTCTATAGTTCTATTAGACAACATTGATCTAAAGAGTTCATGCATACCGATGCACACGTATATGCATGTGCTCATGTATACATGTTGTTGTTGTTAAGTGCCGTCCAGTCGGTTCCGACCCATAGCAACTCAGCATAGGGTTTCCAAGGAGCAAGTGGTGAGCTTGAACCACTGAGCTTGTAGTTCAAACGGGTTTGCATTCTGGCACATTAACCCACAACGCCACATCAGGACTCATGGATACATATGCGTGCGTATATACATGTGCTCATGTTTACATATACATGTGTGGGGGTTCAAAAAGTCCATGGAAAAATGCCCCCCCCCCTTTTTTTTCAATGCTTTATTTTGAATTATGTGATAGCTTACACGGGAGAACATTAGCTTTACATACATCCTATTGTACAACGTTTTCTTGCCATGGTTACAATCCCCTCCAGACATCATCAACTAACCAAAGGATATACCCTGCAAGCCTGCCTCCCAGTCATCAGCACACAGCCCCTCTCCCTATCTGGGCCCAAAGTCCCCAGCCGCTCCATCTCTCCACGTCATTGTCTCTGCCTCCATCCCAGGCATCACAGTTTCTCTGAGTAGGGTTCTGCTCTCTGCTCTTCTCCCTTGATGGTCCCAGGAACCCCTACTCCTAGACTGAAAAGTTAATCACTCCCCTCCCTTTGCCACAAAACATCTACCTTTACATTTCCAGCCCTTATAGTCGGTCCTGATAACAATTACTCACTGTTGTATCACAAGAGACTTATCCAAATCTCCTTTCATCAGCCCCACCTAGACAGATTGGATACTACTCAGTGGAGAGTCTACCTTCCTCCAAGCCCTCTGGACCTAGGTTCCCTCTTGAAAGCTTGTAAGCCAGTCACTTCTTGACTCTGTAGCCCCTCCCATTCTGGGTAGTCAATGTCCAAGTTGCCCATCCATTATCTTTTAATTGCACATTTCCATAATCTTTATGAAGCCCCCGTGCCCAGACACCTGTATCTTTATGCGTATGCATCTATTTGTGTTGCTCCTAAGTTTTATTTGTCTGCCTCGCATAGCGCGGGGAGGGCTGTGCCACTAGCTCTCACTTCTTCCTCCCTCAGTTGCTGGGTGAAAGATCTAGGTTCATACAAAATAGAATGTATGGACATCACGTGTAGTAGATCTAGAAACTTCTGTTTTCAGAGATGCAACCAAAGCAAATGTTTTAAAACAAAACCAACTTAATTATGCCCAAGAGCAAAAGAGTGTCAAAGGTGTGCTCACCATGGAATGGTCAGTTACAGAAAATAGAAAGGGAAAATATACCTAAGGCCAAAGCTGAGAAGGGTTGGGCAACACAGTGGAACAGAAATAAGACCCACAGGGCAGAAGTGAGATCACTGTTGTTGCTCTGAGAAGGGGACTGCAGTCACTGAGATGAAACAATGCGTAGGATTTGTTGAGTGTAAAAGTGAGGATCTTGTCTGTAAACCTTCACTCAATTCACAATAAAAACAAACCAAAAAAGATAAGGTCAGTGGTCATGTGCAGTCATGGTTCCTGTTGCTTCAGGCACTCTTTATGAACATTTTAACCATGCCTACTAAAAGGAGCTCTGGTAGCGTAGTGGTTACGAATTGGGCTGCGAACCGCAAAGTCAGCAGTTCGAAACTACCAGCTGTTCCTCGGGAGAAAGATGAGGCTTTCTGCTCTCGTAAAGATTTACAGCCTCGGAAACCCTGTACAGGGTCTCTAGGACTCAGAACCGACTCCCCGGTACGGAACAACAACAAATGTCTACTAAATTCAAAAGCTGAAAGTGCTAGATAGTAATCAATATTTAGTATTACTATGTTGTTGTTTGGTGCCTTGAGTCCTTTCAGACTCATAGTGACCCAATGTAGGTGTCCCGAGGCTTTGACAAATCTTTGCAGGAGCAGAAAACCTGATCTTTCTCCCTAGGAGCCGCTGGTGAACTGCGGAGCTTAGGTTCTCAGTCCAGCGGTCATCCTGTAGTTATACAAACCAGGAGCAACGAGAAAAAGGGTGGATGAGTTGAGTCCCGGTGGGACGTCGCTGCAAGATGATGCACTGGACCGCAAGTTGGTTTGGACTGCAAAGTCTGCTGTTCATATCCACCAGCTGCTCCTCAGAAGTCTTACATAGGGTCGCTGTGCGTCAAAACCGACTCGATGGTAGTGGTTACAACTCGGGCTACCAACCTCAAGGTTTGAAACTACCAGCTGTTCCGCGGGACAAAGATGAGGCGTTCTGCTCGCGTAAAGATTTACAGCCCTGGTAACCCTGTGCAGGGTTACTATGAGTCGGAACCAACCCCACGGCAACATAACAACAACATCTATATCTATAACTATATATATAAATCCGGGTGTGGGACTGCGGGTTAATGCACTGGACTGCAAAGTCGGTTTAAACTGCAAGGTGGGCAGTTCAAGCGCACCAGCCGCTGCTCGAAAACTCTATACATGGTCGCTATGGGTCAGAATCGACTCGACAGCACTTAACAACAACAAATATACATATATAATCTCCAACTCTACCTGTACATATTTAATAAAATTGTGGTCGTCCCAAACAATAGGCGACAAACATTTTCCACATTAAAATTTTCACATGTTCTTTCATTATAAAACGATAACCTTAAAAATGAATGCTTCATATTCACAGTTTATGACATCATTATGTTTAACGAATGACTTCGAGAATGCTGCTTGTAGTTGATCGAGGTGGCCTGAGTTCGCTTCTTCCGTCCACTGAACCCAAGGTCAAACCCAGAGCGATTCCAACGCACACATGTTACCGACCATCATTATCGTGCGAACACAACTTCTGATCTACTTCACCTTTGGTAGCGATCGCAATATGGGATCGTTTTGTACGTGCCTCCTCCTGCGGGAACCATGGAGCTCGACGCCGAAGTCTGAAATGCAGACACCCGGCCTCTGAGACTCCGCGCAGCGGAGCTACAGCACAGACTCAAAGCCTGGCCGGAAGTGCGCCAACCCCGACTCGCAGCGTGCGCCTGCGTGGCGCACCCTGCTGATGCAACACGCACGTACGTCAAGCCGCTCTTCAGCCGCGACGACGCTGCGTCACGGACTTTTAGGCGCTTCGTTCCAGTGGACAGCCGATCGCTGTGGGCCCCAGCGCCGGCCTCCCGCGCTACGGGAGCCAGCACAGGGCGCGATGAGACGCAGCAAGGCGGACGTGGAGCGGTACATCGCTTCGGTGCAGGGGTCTGCCCCGTCGCCCCGAGAAGTAAGGAGCTCCGGGGGAGACGGGTGGCCTCGGGCCCTGACTTGGGCCCTGCTCGGGTCCGCGGCTCGGCGCCGGCGTCATGGCTCCCGGCCCCGCCGCTCTGCTTCGCGCGTCTGTTGAGGGGCCGGCCCGTTGGCGCGGTCCCGTGGGTTTGCATGGCGCTCGCGAGAACGCGCGTGTCGGGGCGGGCGGTCCGGGGTCCTCGCGGGGTTTCGCGGCCGGTGGCGCCTGCGCTCCGCTGGGCTTGTGGCCGGTCCCGGTCGTCCACTCTCGGGCCGCCCGGGCCGGAGTGGCCTGTGTCCAAGGCTTCCCATGGGCGTCCCAGGGCCATATCCGGGCTGTTCCTTTCCAGACTGCGATGGAGGCGGGACTGCCCGGCTCAGAAGTCGGTAGCTCCCAGCGGTGACCGGTTTAGCCCGGGGAGGGTCTGATTCCTAGTGGTCCCTGCGTAAAGTGGACCGGGAAGGGCGGGGGAGGAGGTAGCTCTGAGTCCTGGTGGTCCCCGGCTAAAGTGGACCCTTGGGGGGGACTCTCACTTCTGGTGGTCCCTGAGTAAAGTGGAGGGTCAGTGAGGAAGAGGAAGACCCCAAGCACGTGGGTTGACTCTGGCATTTTAGCAACCGTGAGGGCTGCGCGTGGCGGGTGGGCTTCCCTTGGGCGGTGCACAGGCACCTGTGCCAAGGAGCCGGGACATTTCCCGGGGTTCTTACGAGGGTCCTTCACTTCTGGAAGCTTCTTTCATTTGCATTGTTTTTATTGAACGTGTTCTTTGGAGTTGTCAGTTTCTTATAGAAGGCTACTATGGTTTAAAACGCCACAAGTTTTAAGTCATAGTATAATGCCGTGGGTTACTGCGCTGGGCGCCAAAGTCGTTGTAAACAACCTTCTCCTAGGATCATTTCTCTCTCATAAGAACAGTGATATATGTGGATTCAGCAGGATGAGATAAAAAAGCTCTTTACTGGTTTGTACAAGATCTGGACTCAGTTTGCTTAGGGGTGAATCAGCTCTAGTGTTACGGAATTGGGCAAGTTAGACTTTTCTCATCAATAAAGTAAAGTTTTAATGTTGGTAGGATTACACAGGATGACCCATGCTCACATTTAAGACGGGACTTGACACATGGTTGGATTCTACAAGGGACAAGACTGTCGCATAGTTCAACTAATAAGTGACTGGTGGGTGGGTTGGAACCACCAACTTTATCCTTTGCCATGGAGTGCTTTAACCTCTGCACCCCAGGCCATCTCCCTTGGGCTAATGTCACCTGAGTGTAGTTGGTTCTGACTCTGCGTGGCCCTGTGTGCCACAGAAGGAGACCCTCCTGGAGCTGCACCAGCCTTCCAGTGATTGCTGCTTGTGTCTTGTTGAGTGTCTTCCTTTTCACTGACCCTCTCCCTACTGTGAGGACCTTCTGTAGAGGACTTGTCCCTTTTGATAACGTATACCTCACTGTCTGCCATGGAGTTGGTTCCCAGTCCCAGCCCCCCTCATAGGGCTTCAGAGGTTGTAAATGTTTACAGTAGGCTCATCATGCTCCCTGGGAGGGAGGGGCTGCTGGGTTCACAGTCCAGTTATCTTTCAGCGCCACCTTGTTCCCCTCCTGATGCCATATTGTTGTTAGTGTCCTAGAGTCGAGTCTGTTCTGAGGCGTAGTGACCCTGTATATGGATTCTGAGGAGTGGTTGGTGTTTTTGTGCTGCTGACCTTGTGGTTAGCAGTCCAGTGCTTATCCTACAGCACCACGGGGCTTACTAAATCAATGTTAGTGTTGTTGATGTAAAAAGGACAGTCATTCAAGGCTGCTTTTTTTTTTGAGCCAAGGGCCTGTGAGAATAAAGATCTGTTAAGAAAAACATTGAAAGAATCTTGAAAAAATAAACAACAAAAGTCTCGAATATCATGATTGTAATAGCAACATGCTGTTGCTGCTGTTAGGTGCCATCGAGGCAGTTCTGATCCATAGCGACCCTGTATAGGGTTTCTGAGGAGCAGCTGGTGAGCTGGAACCTCAAACGCACAGCGACACACCAGGACTCCAGCAGTAACATAGTTGTGTCTTTTTTCCCTATCCCAGGGAAATATAAATATAAATAAAATGTATTTAGTGCTCTCAAGGATTTTGTGAGTCTGAGACTCAGAGATGATTAGAGATACAGTTTCTTTCTTCCAGGAGCAATGGAGTGAGTATGCCCTCATATTACTCAGGAGGAAATGACTAGGTCGCTTCATCTGATTGCAATTTCGAGCTGCTGGCACAATAAAAGATAAAAGTAATGCCAGAGTTTAGAACAGAAACTTTTTAAGGGTTTCTATTGTTATTGTTGTTAGGTGCCGTCGAGTCGGTTCCGACCCATAGCGACCCTGTATAGTGTTTCTGAGGAGTGGCTGATATGCTTGAACTGGCAACCTTGAGGTTCAAACTGACTTTGCAGTCCAGTGCATTAACCCACAGCGCCACACCAGGACTCCAAAGAAGATTACTGACTATTAAAAGGAGGCTTCTGAAAGTTTATAGAATAATGGAATTAAAAGATGATGTCTTTGTGGTTTCTGTACCCCCTGAAATTGACTGTAGCTCTCAGTGAGGGTCCTCTAGCCCCCTAAAGATGAAAAACCATTGGAGCAGACAGAAGTTAGAGGGTACGGGTAGGGTTGTTGCTACTACAGCATCTCTCCGTCTAGTCAACTGGAGATGTGAACAGAACCTTAAGGATTATTATTATGGACACCTTTGCCTTAACAGTTAATGAAAAAACCCAAACCTCCTGTAGAAGAATTGATGCTTTTGAGTTAGGGTGTTGGAGGGGAATATTGACAGTGCCATGGGCTGCCAAAAGAACCAACAGATCTGTGTTGGAAGAAGTGCAGCCAGAGTGCTTCTTGGAGGCCAGGATGGCCAGAGTTTGTCTCTCATACTTCAGACATATTTGTCAGGAGGGAGCAGTCTCTGGAGAAGGACTTCATGTTCGGAGAAGAACAGGAAGACTCCTAACGAGATGGATTGGCACAGAGGCAGCAGCCATGGGCTTAACTGTAGTAACAACTCTTAAGATTGGCAAAGGACCGGGCAGTGTTTCCTTCTGTTACGCATAGCGTAACTGAGTCGGTACTGACTTGGTGGCACCTACCAACAACAACAATTGCCTCATAGACAATTCTTACTCCTGGTGACCCTATAGGATGGTTTCCCAGGCTATGAATCTACAGAAGCCTACTGCCGCATCGTCCTCCTGCTGAACAGCTGACGGGTTTGAAGTGCAGCCCCACATCGAACCCAGTGTACCACCAGGGTGCCTCGGTATTTTAATGAAATATTTCTCTTCAAAGAAAGTAAGATCATTTAGAACATGAGAATTTCAGTGAATTAATAAGTGAGTAACTTTGGAACATGTGAAACTTAGGTCTGAGTGAAACGACAGAATAAAGTGTTCTGGACAATTTAAGGAGCTCTGTGGCACAGTAGTTAAGTGCTTGGTACTAACTGAAAAGGCGGCAAGTCAAACCCAGCAGTTGCTCAACAGTCTGCTCTGTCCTGTAGGGTCAGTGTGATCCCAGTGGACTCAAGGGCAGTGGGTCTCTGTTGTTCAGATACCGTGGTGGTGAAAGGGGCAGAGGCAGAGTAGTGAGAGACTAGTTTTTACTTCACACCAGGCAAGCTTTCTAGGGTGTTCAAGTTTTGGAGTGTGTTGGTGGACCTGGCCTTGCATTGTGCATTCATTTGCTTATTTCTTGATTTTTGTCTTTTCTATGCTGTACTTGCTCTAGCCCTTGCTGACTAGAGGACATCACTCACTTGTTGGGTGCTTTTGACTTGATTCTGACTCAGAACCCCATAGGGGTTTCTTAGCTGCACATGGCCAGGTGTTTGTCCTGCACGGCCTCTGGCTGGGCTTGAACTTCTAACCTATGGGTGACTTGCCGAGTGCTTAGCCCTGTGCTACCAGGGCTTCCCATCAGATACTTGTCTTCCTTTTTCCAGATAGCGTCTCCCTAGCTGTCCTCCTCCTGTCTTCTCGTGGACTTCCCTTTCCGCACTTCAGATTCCTGCTCATCAGAGGCAGCCTTACAGATCTGCAGGATCCTTTGTGTTTGAATCATCTTCTTTTGATTTGTTTCCTCTGTTTTGTTGCAGCAGAATCTGCGGTTTCTTTTGAGAAGAAATGGGTGAGGGTTTTCTCTGGCTAGCTGAAAACATCTTACTTTGATAGATGGAATGGTTACCAAATTCTGGGTTTGTACTCATTTTTTTTCCCTTGCTTTTCAGAGCATTGCTTCATCCTAACAGCTTCTAATGTTGTTGGAAGTCTGATGTAGTTCTTATTTTTGGTAGCTTATAGATTACCTGGAAGTTTCCTTTTATTTGGGAAACGTGTTTCATTCTGGAGAATTTCTTGTGTTCTTTAAGATATCTTCTCTTTTTCTGCTAGTCCTCTGAACTGAATCTTGAACCATTGTATTTGATTCTCTGACTTTAGTTCATCTCTTTGTTCTACTTCGATAGACTCAAGTTGATCTTCTAGTAGAAGGAGGTTGAGGGTCTCCTGGCTCACCCTCTAGACTTGCTTCTCTTCCTGTTTTGTACCCTATAGAGCACAAAGCAACGTCATGGCAATTGGTATGGGTTTTTGGTTCATTAGGTGTGCCCCCAGCCCTGCAAGTACTTCCGAGGTTTGGTGCCAATCACTTTAGATTGAGGACAAATCCAAGTGCTGCTGGTTTTATTTTGGGTGACGAGTAATCAGCTGGCCGTGTAGGATGGGGACAGGAACTGTCTCTGCAGGTGGTGTACCATCTCAGCAGCGGCTGACCTAGTGTTCATCCCCACCTGTGTTCGTACTCCCTACTAGGTAACTGAGGTCACAGGTTGGCTCACAGTGGAACCAGTGTCCTGGGAAAGAGCGCTGACTGAATCAGGCACTGCCTGGCTCCGATCCTTCCTAGGTTGTGTTGTTGTTGTTAATTGCCGCCCTCCTGTAGGTTCCCATTCATAGGGTGTT